AGGGGGCGTGTAGGTTATACTATCCCACATCAGTCCGGTCAGCAGCCTGTCAAAGAGCTGAAAGTCACTGAGCAGACAGTGGATGAGGTTCCAGATGACTCCTATCCAATCTGTTGTTAAGAGTACAATTGAAATTGCTCCCCTCCACCCCAAATTAAAATATCACCTGTCAAAAAACCAATTTGCCAAAAGAACATCCAAGCGCTGGGAAGGAAAAAAAAAAGAAAAAGTTCCCTGTATTTCCCTCCAGGAGGATTTTACACATTAATAAAAAAAAGACGATATTGCTCAAAAGTAGCTTGACCCATCAATAAACGTCCTGGAACAACGGCCTGCAGGGCCAGCCCATCTGCAAAGAGAAAGGCAACTCCCACACTCCCCGTGGAACCAGGACTCAGAAAAACCTCCCCTCTCCAATCAGAAAGCCAATTGGTTTGGTGCCTGCGTCTGTGCAAGAGTCCTGCAGGAATGAAACGTCCACTTTCTTCTGAGACAGGCACTCAAAAAGAGCCTGCAGGAGGTACACAGTCACAGAGAGCGCTGCCTAGTGGGGAGGGGAGGTTTTTGGCAGGGTGTCTCCCTGTTGCAAGCACAGCCCGGTCCTTCAGTGTCCCTGCCACAGGGGTTTCCCGTTCTCCCCATGAGCATAGAAGCTCTACTAGGCTGGGCCCTTGGACAGTCCACGCCTTCCCCAGCTGGTCTTTCACCGAGGTGGGGACTCCTGGTAAAAGTAATACCCGGCAGCGACCCAGGCCCCCTGAGCAGTGTGTTCCCTGACTGCACTGGCCAAACCAGCCTGCTTCACAGCGCCCTCAGAAACTGGGGCCCCCTCCACCGTCCGCAGCTATTTTTTAATAGGGGGCTTTCCTACAAGCCAGAGTCCCCAGCGAAGGCCGCGGATTCCACAGCAACAGGCTCTGCCTCCATCTCATAGTCAGGCATCCCAGAACCAGTCATGCCATCTTCCCTCAGCTTGTAAAGGGCATTACCTCCCCAGAGGCCTCTGCAGCCCATTAGTCCCGCAGTCTCAGCCATAGCCCCTTCGCTCTTTCCTCAGAGAAACACCCATGTGCCCAGGCCCAGGCCCAGGCAGCAGCCACAATAGATAAGAAATTTCCATGCCCTGTCACTGGCCAATAACGGCCACTGACCCACCCCAGAGGTGGCTGCATCTCAGGGCTGGAGAAAGGAACCCCTTATGGAGACCATTTGTCATGGGGTTTGGGGATACTCTGGTCAGAGTCACTGAGCCATAGTCACAGGGTTTAAGGCCAGAAGGGACCCCCTGGTCTTCTGGCCTGACCTCCTGTATATCACACACCACCAGCACCAACCAGCATCGCACACTAAACCCAACAACTGACCTGAGACCAAAGTCTCACAGCCCACAGGAACCTAAATAAATAAATAAATAAATACCCAGAATACGTGGGGTGAGAGAATCCCATCCTGACCCCAGCAGGGGGCTGGCTCCAGATCTGAAGCGTCGGCTTTTAGGAACATAAGAAATAAACTGGAACCCAAGGCTGCTCAGCCCAACCCCCACTATCCCGCTCATAAACAGTTGAAGGAGGGAGAGGACAAATTGAAGTTGTTTGCCCTCAGGGGAGTGACCCCCTCATCCTGCCCCATCTGGGGAAAAGGTAAGGGTCCAGCCAACTGTCCGGTTAGCAGCTGGGAAACACTCATCCCCCAAATATGGGGAAGCCTCTGGCTTTGATGTCTACTAAATATGGGAGACGTCACTTTCATCAGCCAACATTTTAATGGAGATAAATGAGAACACAGATGGTTCTCAAATGAGAGGGGAAAGTTGTTTTTTAGGATATCAACCCCACCCCCTGCAGCTTCTAATCTGGGGAATGACTCAGGAAAACAGGTTCCCTCCAAACAGGAGTTGCTACAATTAAATAAACATAGGGAAGACCTCTAAAACGGAGATTCGTTTTTTAATTCGTTTTTGATAACTACACAGAAAATAGCAAAATCGGAGAGGTGATCTCAATGTTCAGTAATTAAAGAGAAAAGGGAGGAAATCTGAGGAATTTGGGGTCAGTTTTCACAAATTAGAGAACAAAGTAGGAAAATGTGAGGATTTTAGACAGGGTGTATAAAAATTGGTGATTTTTATTTAATTTTTTCATGTTATTTAAATCAGATTCTTTTGATTTTATTATTTAAATTAGTATGAGTTTTTCTTTTAAAAAAACCTGTTTAAAATGAATTTTGAATTTAATACACAATATTTGAAGACCTAGCCTTATTATAATCTCTTAAAATATTTAAATAACAAATAAATATGATGAATCCGGGAGCCTCTATCAAACACTTGACATTAAAGGCTGCTTTTCTATGTAAAGAAAGAATCAGGGGAAAAGCATCTAACTTTTGAGGTCAAGATTTATAAATACAGCACAGTAGATCGTTAAGGGCTTCATCCTGTGGGCATCAGGGGCTGTGCCACTGGGTGCCGCAGACTGGCAAAGTCATCACAGGTGTTGGGATAAAGCCACTGACTTAAAGAGACACCAACAAGGAATGTAAGCTGAAGTCTCTTTCAGGTATATTGGAACATTTTCCCAGGCTGACCTGAAATAATCAGTTTAATTCACTAACTAGAGTTATTTTCTCTGTTTAATAAATCACTTAGTTGTAAATGTGAAACATGTTTTGATAAAATAAGTTTATGTATCCAAGACATTTCAGATGATTTAGTTTCATAAAAATAAATTTTATATGCTGCTTTGTGTGTTTAATTAAATTCTAGTTACCATCCTAATGCAGCATAACACAGAATCACTAGCAAAAAGTTAATTTTCTATTAAATAAGCAATATATCATTCACCATTTTCTAATGTACTAAAAATGTACAATTAATAAAAATATGAAAATGTTAAGCTATATAATGTATCTAGTTATAGTGTACTCTCCTTGGTAGCAAAAAGATGTACTAATCTCAGTGGTGTTGGAACTAGGAGGGCTGGGGGTGGCTGCCGCACCCCCGGGCTTGAAGTAGTAATAGCAAACACCAAATACATAGTTTCAATGGTTTCCATCATCAGCACCCCCCACTATAAAAATTGTTCCAGCACCTCTGCCTAATCTAGTGTAAAGTGTCTATTTAGTTTTAAATCAACATGTTGTAATCGTTGTATCAACCAAAGGGAATGCACCTTTCTTTAGACAAAAAACCAACAACAAGTGGAAAAGTTTACTAAACTTCAGTGCTTTATATCAAGGCTTCCCACTGGGTTATTTAAATTATTATTTGAATTGCTGATTTAAATTGCCTTGTTTTAAATCAATCCACCCTGATTTTATATCAATGATCAATAATAGCTAAAGAGGCAAAATGAGTGATTTATCAATATTTTATCAACAGAAAGGAAAAGAGCAACAGTAGCAATAATTTTATTGTAATATTCAAGAATTTGAGAAAGGGACAAAATCTAATGAGATTTTTATGTTAATATTCTATATTTAGATTGGCAGGAAGAAATCTCAAGAGCATATTACCTTAGTAACATAACTTCAGAGAAAGTGGGGCAATTTTTTGGGGGGGGGGGTATTTTATATCGATCTTTAGGAATTAGGGAGAAAAAATGGATCAAAAATAATATTTGACAATAGGAGAGAAAAACACTAAGATCTGAGGGCAATTCAATAATTACAGGGGAAAAGGGGGAAAGTTTGAGGGGATTCAACAGGAATGTTCAATAAACGATCAGAAAGTGATGGTTCCCTCCACCCCCACCATTCACATGCAGAGCAGGGAGCCCTTTGTGTCACTCATGCAAGGGAGGAGGTGTAGAGCAGGAGATGGGCAGGTGGCTGAGTTGAGGGGGGGGAAACAGCAGCTGAGAGTGGATCCTCCAGTGGGGACATTGGCTTCCCCTTCCCCTCCTATGTCCCTTCCAGGCCCTGTTGCTGGCAGAGACTGGCCACCCCACCATCCCCACCCCAGATTCAGCCGTGTTTCAGGCCTCTCCCAAACAGCACCCACTAACCCCCCATCCCATTTGGGCAACAATTTCCCACCTAAACAAGGACAAACTGCTGCAGATAGAATGGGCAGGGGAAACCCACATATCTGAGGAGATTTTAGATTGAGATTTGAGAAATAGAAAGAAAATGGGTTAATATATGGGAGGGTAAAAGGTGAATCCTCTGAGAGAAAAGTCGGGTGCGGGGAACCACATGGATTTGACAGGTTTCAGAGTAGCAGCCCTGTTCGTCTGTATCCGCAAAAAGGCACCTTAGACTAACATATTTATTAGAGCATAAGCTTTCGTGAGCTACAGCTCACTTCATGGGATGGATTTGATAGTCATATTTGATCATTAGAGAGAAAGGAGGAAGAAGTGGAGAGAATTTTTTTCAACATTTGAGGGGAAAGTGACAAAATCAGAGAAGATGCATTTAACTCTCCCGCCCCCACACACATACACTTAAGCCCCCCACACACCTACCTCTTCCCCTGGTCTTCTCCCCCTGAAATCTCCTGCCTTCCCAGAGACAGTTCAGACTCCCCCAGGTCACACTTGCCTGGTGTCAGGTATCAGAGGGGAAGCCGCGTTAGTCTGTATCCACAAAAACAAGCATGCATCTGAAGAAGTGGGGTTTTTTTACCCACAAAAGCTTAGACCCAAATAAAGCTGTTAGTCTTTACTTGGTGCCACCGGACTCCTCCTTGTTCCAGCTCGCAGGGTCTGTCCCGTCCCTCCACCTCTGGCTCATTGTTCATCCCTCCCTTCCCCACCCCTCCGCCCCCACACAGGCAAGCGGGGGGACCAGCTCTGGGGCCTCTTTCCCCACCTGCAGCCCCCGGGGCTTTGCCTGTCCAGCCGGTCCTGCCCAGAGCTGCAGCAGGCAGCTCCGACCCTCGCCGGGCCATTGACCGGGGCGCAGATTCCCAGGGGCTGCGAGACCTGAGAACCCCTGGGGCAGAGAGTCACTTTCCTGCCCGTCCCCAGCCCTTCCCAGGGGAGCTTCTCACTCACCTGCAGTCTGCAGCCCGGGGGGCTGGTCCCCGCTGGAGAAAGTCCCCCGCGGCTGGGCAGGGAGGGGTTAATGAGGGGCTCCCCCCAGCACAGACCCCCATTGGGGTGCGGGGAGTCAGCAGCTGCTCAGCCCGGGCTCCCGGGTCAAAATGGAGGGAGCAGCGCCTGGGATTTTAGGAGCATCCACGCCCAGGTGTCTGGTCTCGGGGCTTTGTTCTGCCTGCTGCCCGCCTCCTTCCTCCCAGCACCCAACGCTCAGCGCTGCAGCAGCCCCTTCCTGTGTCACCAGCCCCGGGCCTGTCTCCGGCTGCTGGCTGCAGCCTCCCCTCTGTCTTTGCCGGGCGCAGAGCGCTGCCCTGAGCGCCCGCTGCAGGCAGGCTCTTGGGACCAGCTCCTGGTCGCCGCTGCAGGGGCCGAGCCGGAGAGAGGGAATGCCCTGGGGACAGGAACGTGACTCAGTCTCCCTGCCGGAGAGGAGGGGAAGGGGTGAGACAGGGAAAGAGGAGAAAGAAAGGAGCAGAAGGAAAATCAGTGGGTGGGGGAGGGGGCTCCCAGCAAGAAGTAGCAAATGACAGCTGAGGCCTCTGAGAAAGTACCTAGATAAAAAGAAAAGGAGGACTTGTAGCACCTTAGAGACTAACCAATTTATTTGAGCATGAGCTTCCTTGAGCAATGCATCCGATGAAGTGAGCTGTAGCTCACGAAAGCTTATGCTCAAATAAATTGGTTAATCTCTAAGGTGCAATACGCTTTCTTTGCAGATACAGAAACACTCTACTGAAACCTACCTAGATAAAATATCACATAGCCGCAATTATTAACACCAAAACACTTTCGGACAACTGCGGTAAGTTTCGAAATTGTTTTGAGTGTACAAAGAGTATTAACTTCGGTTATGTCAAATAGAAGGATTGCAGGCCTAGATGCAGATAGATAGGTAAACCTATTCAAAACTTCCCAGCCTTAGTGTGGCTTGTTTAGTATCCCTATCAGAGTTTGAAATAAAATGACACGTGAACGCTGGAGCTTAGCCTTATGAGTCAAGCCCCCTGACCTTGGCATTTTCAGTGTGGGCTCCCCGAGGCACAGGGGAAAGGGGTGCAGGTTCCTGGGGTGATGGGACTACAGGGGGTCATTGTGGCCATGGGAGTGTCACTGTGAGGGGCAGGGTCCATGAGGGTGTGACTGTGAAGGGAGGGCTGTGAGGGGGGAGCCATGGGGTGTCTCTGTGAGGGGGAGGGGCTGAGGCTATGGTCACTTCCAGGCACCCCCTGACATGGGAGTTGAACTGTCCCCTCCCCCAGCAGGTTCTTTGGGGTGCCCTAGAGCCCAGCATGAAGCTGCTGCTTCTACAGGGTCCCTGGGAGTCACAAAGGGGTGTTGTGAGATCACTACCCCATCTGGCCTGGGGTGGGGCAGGGGCCCCCGAAACAGCCCTGTGGGGAGACTCAGCCCTGTGGGGACTCATGGGCTGTGGAAAAGCACTTCCAGCAGAGGTGATACATCGGGAAGGGAGGGTGGGTATGTGGTGCAAGGTCAAATGCACCTACAGCAGCTGGCCCAGGTGGGGAGTGGAGGGAATGGGGCAAGAACCTCCTCTGGCCACTGGGACACTGCACCTGGTCGAGCGTCTGACTGCGGCCGCGGTGAGCTGCCTCCCTCCTAGGCTCGGCTTCTGGAGACGGCGGGTGAGCAAGCCAGAGTCCCCCCTCCTCCCCCGGCCTGCTCCGAGTGGACCCCTGTCCCCAGAAGCTGAGCCCGGGCAGGGATTGGGCTGCCACTTCCCCCTCTCTCCCAGGCAGCTGGCTACACTGCACCATGCAGCAACCGGGAGCGGCTCCCTCCCACTCCCTGCCAGGGGCCTGCCTGCCAGGGAGAGCAAATGCAGTGGGAGGACAAAGCCTCTCCCCCCACACAGCTAATGTGGGGTGTGGGGAGTGTGGGTGCCCCAGACTGGGGAGGAGACAGGTGGGGAGGTCACGTGTCCTCTCTTTTAGCTTGTGCCCCCCAAGTATGGGGAGGCAGCAGTTGTCTCTGACTTCCAGGAACTGGGATTTCCAGCTGCATTCAGGTGTCAGACAGGAGAAGGAGGAGTTGCTGCTTTGGGAGAGTCTGTGGGTGTTGGCTGTAGGGGAGATGCCCAGCAATCAGCCTGGCTGAGTCTTTATTCTCGGGGATTCCCCAGCGCGCTGCTCAGACAAGGCTGAAGTAGGGAGCAAAACCGCTGCCTTTCCCAAGGGTTGGCTCAGTGGCTCGGTGAGCAGCAGGGTGTCCCCAGGACCAGTCCAAGCCTGCAGGCCCCAGGAGGCAGGGAAGTCGCCTGGCTCAGGCTGGGAACGCTGGCCCCAGAGAACTGGCCTGGCTCCCTTCTCAGCAGCAAAGAAGTCAATTCCCCCCACCCCTGATACGTCAGCCTGGAGCTAAGGGCAGAGCTGGGGGTGTCTCCTTTCACTCCCGCTGGGGAGTGCGGGGTCCCGGGGGCCTTTTGGAACTGAATTGAGGACACCAGCCTGTCAGAACTGAGAGCTCAGGTTCCGACTAATCTTTTTAATAATATGATCAAATCCTTCAATCCCAGTGTCACCATCAATAGAACTGTCTCCGCCTTGCAGGTTACCAAGGGTGAAACCCAACAGCTCCTGGAATCCAGGAGAGGGGAGATCAAGCACTTGTCAGAGTCTCTGCCCATAATACATTTGTTAGTCTCTAAGGTGCCACAAGTCCTCCTTTTCTTTTTACTGCCCACAGAGGAATCCTGCTGTGTTACATTCCTGGTGCCCTGGCGCCATCGTGTGGCCATTTCCTTTCCCTCCTTTCTGTGAAAAGTTTTGTTATTTTGCACAGAAACTTTATTTCTTCAGGAGAGACCCAGGAGCAGGGGCTGCCTGCATGTACCAAACACCCACTAGAAGGTGACAGGTTAACAGCCTTAAGACCATCTTTCAGTCACTCTGGGAACCTGACTCTGCTCACAGATGGCAGGCTGCCTCCAGCCCACACATCCTGCTCATTAGCTGCAGGAGTGAGTCATTTTTTACTTGTGATCCCTGGGAGAAGGCATTTTGCCATGTGCATTGGTGGTATAGTGGTGAGCATAGCTGCCTTCCAAGCAGTTGACCCGGGTTCGATTCCCGGCCAATGCAAATATGTTTTTCTTCTTTCTCTGGAATTGGTTTAATGTCAGTCACATTGTGTGATAATCACATTATCAGTGGAATGAGAGAATTCCTGTCGCACATCCCAGCAGGTCACCAAACACACAATGGGGGAAGCATCCTTGTGTCATTGGACAAAGTCAGAATTGTGGGAACATGCATCTGTAGCTCCTTGTCTTCACTGTTATATTTCCAGCTGTAGGAGGTGTTTGTATCATGCTCAGGCATGATGGGGAGAAAGGGGGAAACACAATTTTTGCTGCTACGGATTCTTTTGTGTTCGAATAATAATGACATAACAAAACTTAAGTGGACACAAGAACAAATGGCCATCAGCAAGATTAGCCTTGAATTTAGATGAAAGTTTCTAACCATCAGAGGAATGAAGTTCTGGAACAGCCTCCCAAGGGAAACAGTGAGGGCAAAAACCCAACTGGCTTGAAGACTGAGCATGATAAGTTTATGGAGGGGACGGTATGATGGGACAGCCTACAATGGCATGTAGCTGATCTGCGACTGCTAGCAGTATATATCCCCAATGACTGGTGATGGGACACTAGATGGGGAGTCCTCTGAGTCACTACAGAGAATTCGCAAAAAGAAAGGAGGACTTGTGGCACCTTAGAGACGAACAAATTTATTTGAGCATAAGCTTTCAGGAGCAACAGCTCACTTCATCGGATGTATTCAGTGGATGCATCCGATGAAGTGAGCTGTAGCTCATTAAAGCTTATGCTCAAATAAATTTGTTCGTCTCTAAGGTGCCACAAGTCCTCCTTTCTTTTTGCGAATACAGACTTACATGGCTGCTACTCTGAAACCTGTCATTATACAGATAATTGTTTCCTCGGTTTCTAGCAGGTATATCTTGCTCACATGCTCAGGGTCTCACTGATCACCGTATTTTGGGTTGGGAAGGAATTTTCCCCCAGGTCTGACTGTCACAGACCCTGCAGAGTTTTCTCCTTCCACTGAAGCATGAGGCACAGGTCACTTGCAGGTTTAAAACTTGGAGTCTTTAAACTATGATTTGAGGACTTCAGTTTCTCAGCCAGGGGTTCTGGGTCTAGTACAAGAGTGGGTGGGCAAGGTTCTGTGGCCTGCGATGTGCAGGAAATCAGACTAGCTGATCAAGATGGTCCCTTCTGACCTTAAAGTCTATCAGCCTATGTTTTAGAGTGACCAGTAACTCAAAGCCCCCTAGTGTCCCATCTCCAGCTGCTGGGGATATTTGCTACTGTAAGTGACTGATAGGCCACATGCCATTGTAGGCAGTCCAGTCATACCATCCCCTCCAGAAACTTATCAGGCTCAGTCTTGAAGCCAGTAGGGTTTTCTGTCCCAAGTGGAGGCTGTTCCGGAATTTCACTCCTCTGATCATTAGAAACTTTCATCTATTTTCAAGCCTAAACTTGCTGATGGCCAGTTTATATCCATTGGTTCATTAATAGTGGGGGCCTGTGATAGTGTGGGGGAGGGAGGGAGGGAGAAAGACTGGAGAACTGACAGTGGGACCCAGAGAGATTCCCTGTTGCCCGACCACCCATCTCTGGGAAGAGCCAACTGGAATTGCCCTTGGGAAGCTGCGGCTAATAACTCTGGTGTAAAATCAGCATTCCATTTTAATGCGATTAAAGCCTCCTCACACCCAGTGTCACAATCACAGAAATGGCTTTGTCCTGCTATGTTCCCAGCCCAGCAGTAAAGTGAATGGACCCAAATCCCTTTTCAGAGTCAACACACACACAGAAGAAGCATGGGGTTTTTCATTCCTTAGGTTCTGGCGCCAGCAAGTGGCCATTTTGTTTCACTCATTTCTGTTAAAATCTTTAGAAATGTTATGTCCTTGGGAGAGACCCGGGAGCAGAGGCTGCAGTCGTTGAATCTGCACAATCCCAAACCAAACAATAGAAAATAAGGACTGAAATGTTCCCCAGGTTCCTCGGTTCCAACCTACCTCCCGCTCGGCTGCCGATGCAGCTCCATCCTAGCCCCCAGTAGATGCTGATTCCCTCAGCCCCAGCTGGGCAAGGTGTGAAACTCTTTCACTCTGCATAGGATGACCATAGTTCCCAAAGGGAAAAGGGAACACCACGTGGGGCTGGCCTGAGCTGCTGGTCCAAGCCCTGCTCCCCCCTGCATGGGGCTGACATTGCTCCTCGCCCAAGCCCTGCTCCCCCCCTCCATGTGGGGGGCTGGCGTTGCTCCACACTCAACCCCTGTTCCATCCCAGCTCCTACTTATCCCTGGGGCTTTCTCCCAGAAGAGGGACATTG